TGTCATCAGATTAAGACAGAAGTGTGTTTTTAAATAGTTTTTACACATGTATTGCAGCCGTCAACTTCTCTATATTGTTATTTTACAGCACAAACCACAAACTCAGTGAGCGTGACATTAGCAAGTCGTTAGCTTGCCACTTCCCTTGTAAAAAGGTGGACTGTGGTGATGTGCAAATAACTCCGGTACATAGTCCAGAACATTTACCTCTACTGCAATGATGTCATTAGCGCTGCCTACTGAACACACTATCTAAGCAGCTTTCTCACCCTAAACCACATGGAGTAGTGCTAATGTGTGAAAACAGCTTCAATTAAAGGAAGAACATTTGCAAGCAGATGTGTTTAATTTTATTTTTATGGTATATCATAGCTCTTAAAATGTAAGGTGAAGTTAAAAAGTTAGGCTCAGCGTTAGGCTGCAGAAACTGCAGATTATGCAGACATTAAGTCCCACAGAAAGCATGCTGCCTCCAATGTTCCTAAATCTGTGCCGTCTTAATACTCCACAACCACAGTGGCAATATCAGCAACAACAGTGGTGACATAGCTTACATTTAACTTGCATTAAGTCATTATCAATGTTCCTAAAATATGCATTGTACAACGGTAAGGAATTCAGTGCTGATCTAATAATAGGACACGAGAAAGCACAGGGTGCAATATGGTTAGCTTACTTACACTACTCAACTCTAAGACGCTTAGCAGCAGATAATCTTAGATGGGCCGGCTTAAAATGGATATAATGTAACTTTCAGTGTTAAGACACTTGTACAAGGCAAGATACAGATTAGTAGGTGTTTGTAAAGGTTTCTTAAGGACAGCAGTGAGAATTCTGAATGGCGTTTGATGTTTCGTGCTAATTGCCATGTCATCCATTTTAACATTGTTATTGTTTAATAACTGTTAACAAGGTATGAAGTCTGAGTAAATATCATTTTCTTTTTCCTTAATCCAATTTATGGGACAGATATAAAGCTCATTGGTAGTGACACAAAGATAAACAATTTTTTTTAAGTTAAAACCTTAGTTCGAATCTTTTCTGTTTGTTCCACTGCGGTCTAAAGACACAAATTAGTCAAATTAATTTGTGGAAAAAAAGCACAAAATTGTGTTCAGGTTTTGTCAGACTGAACTACAGTGCACACAAAAACACAGCAGAGCAACCACAATGGAAGAAATGCGCACTTTGGTAACTTCACACAAAATCTGGCAAAGCTACAGTTTTGAGCAGGGTTGTACCGAGATGTGAGTTTATTTATTTGTATTTCAGAAAAATGTTTATGTCCTATTTTCACTTCTTTGTTTTCACTCTCCGTTCCTTCACTCGTGCTTCGGCTCACTGAAGCTGCTCTCCATTTCTCTCTCTCACCCTTTGAATGGGGACATTAGGGCCAAGATTCAAAGCTGTGTTTACAAACAGTAACCAAAGATTTCTGTGGCGTACTTTAAAGTAACCAAACTGATTTTTACAAACTGTTGCGCAGTGTGACTGTGAGGGGCTGGCTCAATTGCTTCATGTTGGCTACTCC